AGTTTCTCTGTAGCTAATTGAAGCTATTTGATTTTTGCTTTCGAAATTAGGAATTTTCATTAGTTTAAAAATTGACCTTCTGGTCATATACGACTGTTTATCAAATACAAAAAGCTTATTTAAAAAAGTTTCAGAAGGTAGTCTTGCCATTGATCGCAAAACAAATTTGAGGAGTTCATATACATGCAGCTCGTGAACTGTTAAAAACTTTTCATCATTTAAAACTTGTCGAATGCTTTCATATTTTCTTTGAAAAAAAAATCGAATAATTTTCTTTTGGATAAAAAAGGGGTAAAACGCTTGAGTAGGATGTGCAACCATACATCAAAATTCCATATTGCAAAATGGGCTTGATATTAAAGCCATAATGATCGTCTTAGTCTTGATTGAAGCTCTCAACCGAGCACTTTAGTCCAGTGATGTTTGTCTCGACGGCAAATAGAAAAAATTAGCTTTATTTACAATGTCATTTTAGAAACAGCAGAGGTCCCAAATTGGATCCTTATGGGACACCACATTCCAGATTTCGCCAAGTTAATGGCGTTTCACCAATTGGGACAAATTGTTTGCGGTGCTTCAAGTAACTTTTAAACCAAAGTCAGCTTTTTTCACTGACACCATATATTTTTAACTTATGAAAAAGACTCTCGTGATGCAGTGTGTCAAAAGCTTTTTTTTAATCAACAAAAACTGTTCTCTTGGGTGATTTAGTTTTATCTAAGCGACATTTCTCTGTTACTTCGGCAATAGCATCAATAGTACTGTTTTTTTTTCGGAAACCAAATTCTTTGATATAAATTATTGAGTTTCTTTCTCTTCCAATTAAATTGCTTGATATAAATTAGTGAGTTTCTTTCACTTCCACGTAATGCCGTCACTTCGTTCATTTCCACTTATACAATCTCGGGTACTTCGTGAATCTACCACAAATCTACAGCATCGATAAAATTTCTCCTTCCCCACTTAGCCATTCCTTCTCGACCCAGACTATTTCACGATTACTTAATTGTCAGACGTTAGGCAGCACTTTAATAGAGCAGAGTATACTAAAGTTGAGCTTTAATAAAGCAGATATAGCTTGAAGATTGTGTTGAACTAACGCGCATAACTTTGAACTAAAGTGTGCGACTTGCTTTGGTATCGCAACTCGGTGGCGTCCATCATGCTTGAAAGACCGAATAATTGAAATTAATTTTAGCTTGCTTTCAGCCAATCAGAATTGAGTATTCAAAATCTCAAAGTAAATCGCAAAAAACTCAAATTAAGAAAATAATCCAGGCCATTAGTGTTAATATTGACCGATTAGATAATAAGCAGATGAGTTTTCAAGACTGAAAAATTTTTATGATTTTGACCTCATTAATCTTGATGATTACCTGAATAGTATTGCGGTTAACCCGCAATTTGTAAAAAATTTGATTATTTTTCACTGATTTAATACATTTTTGTTAATATCACTTAGATTTGTGAGAAAGGCATTTAGCCAATAGGAACGCTTAGCGATTTTGATTGGTTGAAATTATTCAAGCATTCAGTCCTTCAAGCATGAGAACCCTCCCCTCGCAACTCGCTTGTATTAACTTGAGCTCCCAGCTTGCACAAAAAGAAGTCAAATATTTAAAATTATTTGTTCAGAAATATCAACCTGAGACTTTATAAAGAGTGATTCAAATTACCGCGAAGCAAAATAAACAATATCGAAGGCATTCTTAAAACTATCAAAATAAATCTAAAATTGCAGACACAAATCGCACTCAAGTAACAATTGGCGCTTGAAACTAATACTGCACGAATAGATTGAACTAAACAAAAATTGCAATTTTTGAGAGGCCAAAATTTTCAATTAGGCGCCAGTTTTGATTCAAGAATCGATTGCTCAAAAATCAGTCATGCAAGGTTGATACTGATAGAAAATGGATTTATTTAAACTTTTTATCATCGTTTAAGAAATTCAGTGCTTTCATTTAACAAGGGATATGAAGTGAACTTAACACGAAAGCAACTGTCAAACGGCGAAGATAACTTGTGAGAGAGAATTGATATTTTTCCTCAAAACTAATTAATCGAGACCTATTTGAGTGAATATAACTTCTTTCTTTTAAACAAAAACTTAAAATTACTTTTCGAAATTGAAATTCATTCACATATTTCTATGCTATGAGCCTTTTTGTAATTTGCAGCATAATTTTTCATTCATTGGCACTTGAAACAGACAACAAACTGTTGAAAAAGGGTCGTGGAACTCAAGACCAAAAGGTGGTTTTTGGGAACACTAACAAATTCTGAGCTTCGAATAAAATAAACATCCTTATAACTTCAAGAAGCTGAAATGATAATCGATTTTTGCTAAACATATCCCAAAATGAAAAAACTGACTGTTTTATTCCGCTGAGATATCTAAAAGTCCAAGACTCGCATTCGTCAGTCGCGTATTTTTACTTCATTTGAACTTTAGATACTCCAGAGCGAAAATTATTTTCCCTTCAAAAGATAGATTTTAATTAAATTCGTAGAACATAAATCGAGCCACAAAAAAAAGCAAACTCGAGCATGAATAATGAAAAAATGAATTTATTTCTCATTGTTACTGTTCAATATGCAAACAACGAGAATTTAAACATGAAGCATCAGAAACAGTGAGTGGACAGTTAACGAACCCAATTGGGTTACAGAGCACTGCCCATTTTATGAAATGAAATACGAAATTTGAGATCTTCATAGAAAAGGAAAAATATATAAAAATGAAAACATAAAAAAATAGGAAAAAAATACTTAAGTTTGAACAAACAAAGCTGCAGATTTATGGCATTGTCTAGACATGTTAATGACATAAGGTCCAAGCTCTTCATCATTTTTTAAAAAGAATGTTCAATCTTAGTCGGTATAAGACCAAATTAAATAAGAAAGTAGTTCAAATTCATCACTCATAATTTCTGATACTCATTAGTCGTCGGCACACCTACTCGGTTCCAAAAACAAATTTGAACTTGTTCACTTGACGGCTACTTCTTCTACTAACTGTGTCCCATCCCTTGAAGCCTCTCTATCATCAGTAGAACTGATTGGGGGCTAAACGGTCAGTAGACACCTAACTGAGCCCATGCGTCAGTAACCAGCGAACAAGCCCAAGTGTGGTTTTCAAAACGCCGAAGACGCATTGAAAACCACATGCAATTATATTTAGAAAAAACTTGAAACTGCAAGAACTTCACATCTGTCATTCTCCGGCATTATCTTTGCATCCAAAAAAATGTCATCAACAACAAATTTTATTAGCTCTTTATTGCTTAAAATAAACAAATCACGAACTTCGTGGGCAATGCGTTGAATATCTGAATTGGAAACTTGAACAAAAATTTTTGGAATTAGGGAATTTTGCCTAAGTATATTAAAGAGGTTAGTTTCTCTGTAGCTAATTGAAGCTATTTGATTTTTGCTTTCGAAATTAGGAATTTTCATTAGATTAAAAATTGACCTTCTGGTCATATACGACGGTTTATCAAATACAAAAAGCTTATTTAAAAAAGTTTGAGAAGGTAGTCTTGCTATTGATCGCAAAACAATTTTGAGGAGTTCATATACCTGCAGCTCGTGAACTGTTAAAAACTTTTCATCATTAGAAACTTGTCGAATGCTTTCATATTTTCTTTGAAAAAAAAATCGAATAATTTTCTTTTGGATAAAAAAGGGGTAAAACGCTTGAGTAGGATGTACAACCATACATCAAAATTCCATATTGCAAAATGGGCTTGATATTAGAGCCATAATGATCGTCTTAGTCTTGATTGAAGCTCTCAACCGAGCAGTTTGGTCCAGTGATGTTTGTCTCGTCGGCAAATAGAAAAACTTAGCTAAATTTACACAATGTCGTTTTAGAAACAGCAGAGGCCCCAAATTGGATCCCTATGGGACCACAGATTCCAGATTTCGCCATGTTAATGGCGTTTCACCAATTTGGACAACTTGTTTGCGGTGCTTCAAGTAACTTTTAAACCAAAGTCAGCTTTTTCCACTGACACCATATATTTTTAACTTATGAAAAAGACTCTCGTGATGCAGTGTCCAAAGCTTTTTTTTAATCAAGAAAAACTGTTCTCTCGGGTGATTTAGTTTTATCTAAGCGACATTTCTCTGTTACTTCGGCAATAGCATCAATAGTACAGTTTTTTTTCGGAAACCAAATTCTTTGATATAAATTATTGAGTTTCTTTCTCTTCCACTTAAATTGTTTGATATAAATTAGTGAGTTTCCTTCACTTCCACGTAATGCCGTCACTTCGTTCATTTCCACTTATACAATCTCGGGTACTTCGTGAATCTACCTCAAATCTACAGCATCGATAAAATTTCTCCTTCCCCACTTAGCCATTCCTTTTGACCCAGACTATTTCACGATTACTTAATTGTCAGACGTTAGGCAGCACTTTAATAAAGCAGAGTATACTAAAGTTGAGCTTTAATAAAGCAGATATAGCTTGAAGATTGTGTTGAACTAACGCGCATAACTTTGAACTAAAGTGTGCGACTTGCTTTGGTATCGCAACTCGATGGCGTCCCTCATGCTTGAAAGACCGAATGCTTGAAATTAATTTTAGCTTGCTTTCAGCCAATCAGAATTGAGTATTCAAAATCTCAAAGTAAATCGCAAAAATCTCAAATTAAGAAAATAATCCAGGCCATTAGTGTTAATATTGACCGATTAGATAATAAGCAGATGAGTTTTCAAGACTGAAAAATTCTTATGATTTTGACCTCATTAATCTTGATGATTATCTGAATAGTATTGCGGTTAACCCGCAATTTGTAATAATTTTGATTATTTTTCACTGATTTAATACATTTTTGTTAATATTGACTTAGATTTTGTGAGAAAGGCATTTAGCCAATAGGAACTCTTAGCGATTTTGATTGGTTGAAATTATTCAAGCATTCAGTCCTTCAAGCATGAGAACCCTCCCCTCGCAACTCGCTTGTACTAACTTGAGCTCCCAGCTTGCACAAAAAGCAATCAAATATTTGAAATTATCTGTTCAGAAATATCAACCTGAGACTTTATAAATAGTGATTCAAATTATCGCGAAGCAAAATAAACAATATCAAAGGCATTCTTAAAACTATCAAAATAAATCTACAATTGCAGACACAAATTGCACTCAAGTGACAATTGGCGCTTGAAACTAATACTGCACGACGAGATTGAACTAAACATCAATTGCAATTTTTGAGAGGCCAAAATTTTCAATTAGGCGCCAGTTTTGATTCAAGAATCGATTGCTAAAAAATCAGTCATGCAAGGTTGCTACTGATAAAAATTGGATTTATTTACACTTTTTATCATCGTTTAAGAAATTCAGTGCTAAATAAAACGGAATAGAAAAATAGCATTCCGAGAACGAGTCAGGCAAATGCAACTCGCTTGATGTACTATCTAAATTATCATTCAGAATTACGAACAAAATAAAACCTCTTTTTCATCTTCAATAGCATATAGATTTCTAGCCGAGTTTTTCAAACATTCTTTCCGAGGGAAATTTTCGTCTTGGCTGAATATTCTCCAAAAAATTGTTTCATTTAAAATGGGCGAAAAAGAGCTCAAAACTACTTTTCAATGTTGTAGCAACTGAAAAACAGAACAAAACGTAGAACTGATTATTTTATTTGCGTCTATTAGAGTTGCTGGTATAAAAACAACCATGTTCCTTCTTTGTTAGTGAATAGAACAAAATAGTTTTGCGAAGTAGAAAGAGAGAGAAAAGAGTGAGAGGGGTTGAATTGTAATTGGTGTTGGCGGAGTGAATAAACAAGAGAGAGATTCCATCGTCAGACGGAGGCAGTTTGCGAGATTGGGTTGTCCTGAAACAAACACAAGATGCATTTTTTGGCCCCGGTCCTACCTACTGCATCTCCAACTGGGAAGGAAGGGGCGGGGGAGTAGGGTTGTCGACCATTTTGGCCGTAGCCGTTTCCACCTTGAGGAGGCGGAGAACATCGAACTCATCAGCTGATTTCCAACATGATTACTTCGAAAAGCACCAATGAACGCCACGAAACTGAAGGAAATACTACCGTTTTGATAGATGATTTATACCTTCGAGTGTTTCACAAAACGGTTTCAAAATTTTTTAAGAACATACTTTTTAATTTGAAAAACTTACATTTTTCACATTTAAAAACAAAAGACACAAGATGCGCCTTCAGAAAATTAAAGATTGGATATCGCAAAACATCAAAAATAAGGGACATTTCAGATGGTGAATGACTCAAATTTCTGGCGGGATATCATCCTCCTAGATCCGGTACTACAAAGAGTAGGATTAGAACATTGGGGTTGTGTGGCGATTAGAATGGGGAGAGGGATAAAGGATATTTGCTGGTTTTTGTGTGGCACTAACGGAAGGAGAGTGTTCGTGTTCTATCTGTATGACGTCATCGTCCTCAACCTCCTCCACTTCTACCCGTTCGAACTTGTCTTTTCCCGACATCTTCGTCATCGGTTTCTCCTTAAACACATCTACAGCTGCAAAGATTACTCCTGACTAAACAGCAAACTAGCACACGCAGCCACGAGAAAATATCAGATGTTTAAACATAATTCTACACGTAAATATTGGCGAAATAAAAATCTGGCTTATCTAAAAAATATATATATATTCTGATCTAGGAATAAATTTAGCGTTAAAAGCAACGATAGGTTAGCGAAGTATCCAGTAGCGGTTTTATTTGAGGATTTATCAATGTTTTATCAAAATTATCGAGGATTTATCAAAATTTTCCAAAAAGTGCATAAAAACGCCTTTTTGGCCTGTTTTTTTTTTCATAAATTTGCCCACGGTGCAAAATTTTTTGTCAAATTAGGGTCTTAGGGTCTTTATAGTAGTGATTTGGGAGAGCTCAGAAAATCAATTTGGTCGACCTCAAAAAAAGGGCGAGATTGAATCGTAAGATTGAAGCGTGAAAAAAGTTTTTAAAAGTTGGTTGGTCTTTCTGGTCTCACCGATGGCGATGGTTCGTCGTTTTCAGTTTCATCGAAATCCAGTCTGTCGAAACTCGCTTTGTCGTCGAAGTCTATGCTGTCATTACTTGAGGCGCCACACTGCTTACCCGCCATCATTACCAATCCGAGAAGAACAATACAGCCGAACACTATGAGTAGAATGTAGAGCAACATCGGAGACCCCGGGAAAGAGGTGATGCGAGATGGTTCTCCTATTCGCAACATGTAGCTGGCAGAGTTGCAGTCGGCAGTTCCACAACAACAAACACGCGTCCGGTTTTCTCCCTACAATGAAAACTTGAATTAATTTTCAATTACAAGGCATCTAAAGAGAACTTTTTAGTGCGACTAGGGGAGCTCTGAAAAACCTAGTCTTTCTTGCTATTCAGACTCCATTATAGCCAACAGAATTTTTTAAGATTTTTAATTTTAAAAAAAAACGGGACAAATATCATCACGACCTATTTAAGTGACTATGTTTGTAAGTTCTTTTACACTAAATAAATTCCCACTAAAATGAGTACGGCCGATTCCCTCCCATTTGTATACCACGATTTTTTTGAATATAATCAGTTATTTTAATTTGATTACAGAATACCAGCTTTAAGCAATAACTAGGGCAGAAAAATCATTGATATTTTTGAAATTTCGTTTCTTCTCAAACTTCATTCAACAAATGCAGTGGTAGCAACATTCAGTGATAATTAAAAACAACAGCAAATTATTCCTAATAGACAAAGCTGCGCTTCGCAGACACAGCCAAAAACGGCAAAAGGCAACTTCAAATGAATGCGAAAAAAAACGAAGAAATACGCCAAGAAAGAAAATCAACATTAAATAGTTACAAGACTGCTCGTATCAAGGCAAAGCGCTAAGAGTTCTGCCAACCCTTTAACATTAATGAAATAGTTTTTGATAGAATCTTTTCAATATTTTTAAAAACTGATGATAAATAGAAGATTTTTTAATCATCCCCCACACGTTCTTCAATCGAGACAACAAAAAAACCAACAACAGCAACCTTAGTGTAGTTAGTGGGTTCAGTGCATGAAGCTAGAGTGTCGCTGCCACATGAGCTGTCTGTTATGGTCTGGTCGCAGAAGAAGTGGGCCTCCAGAATGTCCTCCTCTAGCACCGTCATCTTCGCCACACAATAGAGCGACTTCGTCTCATCACACTTCTCCGGATCACCGCCCACCACGAAGTCGCCTACAATACAGAAGCTTCCTTTAATCTCTTTGAATTTCAATAACTATGTATGGTTGACAATTTTTCTGATAAAATTAGCCGAAATTGAGAAACTGAAAATTAATATTTTATTCTGCTGGGAATTCTAAAAAAAATCCACTTTCGAAACAAAAGTTCATTCACGTTGTTTCACGCAATTCACGCTTTTGTAATTGGAGAGCGTATTTTGTCTTCTTTTTAGCAAAACAATTTGAATTGAACTTGAAAAAAATGAAAGCTTACCTGCAAAAAAAAACTTTTGGCTGAACGAAAAAAACTTGACCTACATAAGTGTTTTCACTACTTTCATTGCCACTTAAAATTCGATTTGGCAAGGTTTAATGGAGAGCGATTTGCAGAACAGAGTTATTGTTCGACGACTCAACTCTAACTTCCCATGTAAAAATGAACTATTCCCATTATAACCTCAGCAGAAAAAAGCCCCCACTTCTGCCTCACCTCTCAACCAAAAATCTTAGTGCGGATTAATTGTTTGACAAAACTTGGGTGAAAAGCACTAACAGTTGGGCTTCAAACAATCGAAACTTAATCAAAAACATGCCAAAATTACTATTTATATTTACTTTGTTCCTATTAGATGGTAATATATTCCATAATTACATTTTATCATATCCTAGTTTTAAATTGCTTCAAACAACGAGCAGTTCAATTATATTACAGCAGTAGCTTTTTTTATTAAATTCAACCTCATTAGAGTACGCCAATTTATATTCCCTACCAATGCTTCCGCCTCCTCATCGCTTATTGAGCTAGAGAACATGGTTATACTTTTGCCTGCTGTTATGTTCAATATGAAGGAGTTAACGTTTATTTTGGTTGGCACGCAAAATTTACTTCGCTTAGCAGGCATACACTGTTCACGTGATTACATCAAGGAGAGAAACAACAAAAATGATCAATAAAAGGAGGAAATTTGAGTCAATATATATCAATATCACTATCTTAAAAAGTAATTTGGGTTGGAGCGAGTTGAAAGGAATAGACACTGCAAGAGATCAGTTTATCAAGCTCTTTTTACGCTCGACCAGTTATGACAACCAAGGTCATTTTAAATATCACTGAGGCTGAAGCCAAGGTCGTTTGTGGGGATGTTAACTTGGTTCCAAGTTGGGAATTTTCAGCCAATCAGAATGAGCATTTTACATGCAGTGCTTAGCAAATTTTATGCGCAAATTAAATGCTGTTCACTTGGTCTATCTGGGGGGGGGGGGGGGGGGGGGTTGACATTCGAGGAAAACGGAATATTTATGCTTGGCTTGGTTTTTTATTCCGTCAATTTATTCGGCAATCGAAATAGTTTTTAACAAAAAAATTTTTATACCCCATTGAAGATACCAACTCCCTGAAATCAAATGGAAAAAGATATTTTACCTCCGATCATACGAATCCGGGCAGTTTACAGGCCGAAGACGAACCACATCGGAAAAAACTCAATGTTCGCAAAGCCGACTGGGAAGCCTATCAGACGGAGATTGCCAAGGAGTTAGCCGCCCAAATAATAGAGTGCGAGTCCATCAAGAAGGTGCACAGGAACTGGTGGAAGCCATCATCAAGAAGGCCATACCGACAACCAAGAGGAAGAACCCGAAACCCTGGTGTAGTGACAACTGCGAGTTGGCGAAGCGGTACTGCAACGAAGAGGAGAAACAAGCAAAGAAGAAGAGGCAACCAGTGGTTTAAAGACCGATACAACGAAGCTCAGAAGCTGAAAGACACAGTTGTGAAGAGCAAGATAGCCAGCTGGAGGTCTTTCGCCGGCACATTTGAAGCGCGGACGCCAACAACAAAGATATTGAACACTCTACGCGCCATTGATGGCCGGAAGAAGTCGAGACGTCCCAACCAACCCATCAGGCAGGACGCGAATACTTTCATCACAGACAGAAGCAAAGCTGAAGGTGCAGTCAGAGTCTACGTACAAATATGCAAGGTTCAGATCAGAAGAGTGAACGAGAAGGACGCCTACATGACCTACCGCGGATGCATCAAGACGGAGGGCGAAGACATGGACAAGCCCTTCACGCTCCTGGACCTGAACACGCTCCTGGACTTGAACACACTCCTGCGCAAGACCAAAGCATCAGCACCTGGCCTGGACAAAGTGCAAACGCTGATGCAGCTCAATCTCACAAGCGAAGGCTAAGACCGCCTTTTTCATCTGTTTAAAAGGAGCTGGACCGAGGGCAGAGTACCCAGCAGCTGGAAACTAGCGTGTATCATTCCTATATCGCTGAATGACAAGCATGTAGATGAAATCAAGATCTTCAGGCCAGTTTCGCTCCTCCCAAGCATCTCCGAAGTCATGGAAAGCTTGGTCCAAACCAGACTGAAGAAATGGACAGTAGTCCTTAAAATAATTCCCGCAGAGCAAGCCGGCTTTCAGCTATTCCTATCTACCGAAGTTCTCGCTAGCATCTGCCAGGATACCATGGACGGTTTGCAGAGGAAGAAGCGGACGCTGCTAGTCCATGTTGATTTCAAAGCCTTTATCAGCACCTAGACAGTTCGCAGACGACTTGACGATTGGTGAAGCAGCATGAACTCCCAGTGAAGCGGCAGCTGACACACAGAAAGCACTAAAAGTCATCACCGAATAGGCAGCAGAACATGCGATGACCTGTTGAGAAGACAGAAACCGTAGTAGTCTCCCTCGATCCTCGCGAAACAGCTGGCAAAGGCCAGCCACCGATAACTCCGCTAGAAAGAGCACCAACTACAAGAAACAAATGACTATACTGGGAGCCTACATCGAATCATAGCTGAAGTTCTCAAAGAAGGCAGAGACCCGGGTCCTGACGACGCCGCCTTCAAGTGGCGGACCCGACTTCCTGGCTAGCCAGGTTGCAAATGGCGTCGAACTCCACCTCCCATGGGTCGGGGAAAGCTCAGAAGTCTCCGGGTTTTAGTCTGGACACGGACGAGCCCAACCCGACCAACGAATAGAAGCCGAATAGAAGACCCACACCAAGTCCCGGTAAATCACTTCCACCGCAGAGCAACCGGAAGGCAGCCCATGCCGACCGAATATAGAAGAACAGAAGAAGTCACCCTGCACAAACTCAGGCTGAACAGGGCGCCCTTCCTACAAGCAACGAGACATAGACACGGACAAGTGGATGACCCAAGCTGCCCCTACTGTAATAACGGAGAAGAACACATACTTCGAGTGGAAGACGACCCTTGGAGAAGACTCGAAACTAGACGTCCTACAAACATATACACCCGCCGTCATGGATTATTTGAGGAGCATTGGGGTTCAACCCCGTGGGCTCAGCACTGTAGACGGCCTACAACAACTCTTCAAGTGGAACTTAGATTATCCAACACTGTTTCCAACATCTAAGAGATTATTGAGGATCTGCGCTTATTGCACCTTATATACAAACCAAACACCGGCCAGGCAACACTCTTTTTGGTGCTAAATTCTTTACTATATTTTGAATGAAAGGCTTGTCTGACCACTTTGCAGTATTTCCTTAATTAACTACTGCAGATGCATCACATGAAAACGACACCTAACAGCTCTTCTCTCTCACAATCCTTCTTTCAGACAAGTTTTAATGCTACTATCAGCACCTGCTTAACTCAACTATTGTAGAACGAAACTATTGATATGTTTTTCTTGACACTGATGAGTATTTAGATAACTGGTAATCTCAAATCATGAGGCCACTTTAATTAACATGTACCCAGGTACCCAAACGACGTCTGCAACTTCCTGTTGATTACTTTCATAAATCTAAACTAAGTGGGCTTGATAATAAATGGAGTTAGATAAGTTGTCTGCTCTGAATGAACACTTTTGCGCAACTTCAAATATCGAACTTGCACATTCATTCTTAACAGCTGCAGCAACTTAACTGCGCATGTTATTTAGCAATTTCCAATTGTTTGTGTGCTCACAGGACCTTCTTTTTATTAGACCATCTATTTCAAAGTCTAGCAATGCGCAAAACTATCGTAACTTTAGCTTTTTACACCAAATGTTGATTTCTTCTGCTGAAATAAATCTGGGATTTGTTATTTTGAATTACGGAATGAAATGATATTCGGTCAACACGGATTCATGATGAAACGGTCTGCTTATACCCAGCTTGCAAATTATTTATGTCAAACTTACCACAAAAATGCTACAAAAGCTCAAAATCTTGCAGTATACTTTAATTTTCGCAAAGCATTTGATCATATTCCTCGTCACAATCTTCCTACCAAATTTTGCTTCGAAAATAACTTTCATAAACTCTCCGCATCGTTTCAAACTAAAACCAAAAACTTTTGTTGTAAGCGAATCAAGCTTTGCAAAAAGTAGATGTGACTAGTGATGTCCCACCAAGAAGTGTCTTTGGTCCTTCAAGTTACATTCTCAAATTATTAAAAACAGCCCAACTCATGTATAACTTTTGACTGCTTCATTTCTGTTGATCACAGCAAGCTCTACTCCAAATGTTCTTTTCTTTAAGTTTAAACAGATATTTAGGTTTTTCGCAATCAGACCATCAAAAATGTAATAACAGTCAATGTTGAATGTAGAGTTATACGTTTTAAATCATTCACACCGAACACTATACGATACCTCAATGATAATATCATTCTATCAGCGTCATCAAGGAAACATATTGGTAAAATGATACAACAAATTGAAATGGGATGATCTCAGAAGAAACAAAATGATTGCAGTAAAAATAGCCTTCTATTTCTCAAAGTACTAATTTCCTTTGTGTTGTGAAAGCTAGTTTATATTTATTTCTTCGCTGCAAATTGGAATCATTCAACAAAAAATTTTCGAAAAAGCCGATAAAACATGCCAGGCATTTTCATTACCTCCATTCTTGCATCATAAAATGTGAACGTTAAATTGATTATGAGCCAAGCTATCCAATTACGCGCGATTCAACTAGAGAAATTTTTAATCGGGGAAAGATGTCTATATTCCCATTTGTTGGCTCGTTTTTCTCGCTAACATTAAAACCTGATTCTAGTTTAATTGAAACCACAGGCATCAAAATCTTTCAAATGATATTTCAAAATTTCGTGTACCATTGTTAGTTGAAAATCAAAGTGTGTATGAAAAGAAAAACGAAACCTTCCTCTGAAAACCCTAAATTGAGCCTGAGATTTTGGCCGTTCTTGAAGTTCTAGGGTTTCTAAGACATAACAGTTAGAAAAACAATTAATCGGAAACTCGGCCGACGAGACACGCGAGCCCTAAAACATGATTTTTTTCAATGAGATTTCATTCCAAAATTTAATCAGCACACAGTGCAATCCACGTAGCCGCATTTTTAAATACTTCTTTGCAAAGAATGCAACGCTCAAAAACCCATTTGAAGATAAAAAAACGGAAAATTAGAGCAAATCAGAAAAAGAAATTCGAGTTTTTTTCCAACCTTAATTCAGTCACAATTTTAACTTGTATGTCGTCTATCAAGTCGTCTATCAATGCATTCATATCACCGTTTTGTATTCAAAAAATAAAAAAGAAATGGGTTCAAAGAAAGTTGGACACAGAGGCGGAAAATCGTTTTTGTCATTAAAAATTGCAACAAAAGTCCAAATATCCAAAAAAAAAACCTGTACCATTAAAAACTATATAATGAGAAATGATAAAAAGAAGTCGAAAATTCAAAGTCTTTTCAGAGGAATTAGGGCGACAAAAATAAAAAAACAGACAATAAACTAAATTAGTCAAAAACTTTCAGTTCGCAGAAAAAAACAGGTCTCCACTGGAATCGAGCTTAATGGTTTTGCGTTCTCAAGCATGGTGTTTACAGCAACTTGGAAGAAAGCTGGACTTTTCAAAAAAGTCAGGCTACGGGAACTAAGCCGACAAAAATAAACAGACGGACGACAGTCAGAAAAAGCTCCAATACGTCGATGTAAAAAACCGAAACCAATTAGGCCGAAAAAAGACGAAAATTACAAATATAATAAATCGAGTTGCTAAAATTACAACCATTTTAGAAAACAAATTTCGATTCAACCGGACTTTTAAAATGCTAAAATACTAAAAACAAGCACAACAACTGAGCCGAAAAACATAAACATAAGCAGACTAATATTAGGCGGACAATTTTATTTGAAACAGAAAATTTCCGTTTGAAAAAACCGGTTTATGTCAAACTCGAACCCAGGAACTTTGCCGTACCAGGGGTATTCGTTACCTGCAGGCTAAGTTTGCAGGAGACACCAAGAAATTTCAATTCAAACTACGTTGAATTCAATCAAACTTGAATTCAATTATGAGCCAAGGTACCAACAGGAGTCCAGATGAGTCATGTGAAAAAATTATGGAAAAAGTCTTGTACCCGATAGCAATATCCTTGCTTATTGCAAGGGTAATGAAGAAATCCAAACAACATTCGATTTTTTTAAATCGTATTTCAGTCGAGAAAAATGTGTTAGTACGTAAAATGACCCAAGTTGTCATACAAGCGCCTTCATATCACCATTTTCAGTTTTTTTTTTGAAAATGGAAACTGAGCCGACGAAAATTGCAACGATAAACAAAACCTTTTTTTTTTTCAATCCAGTTTCAGTCAAACAATAATATCACTCTCTAATATAACCCATAGTGTGCAATCAACGCTGTTATATGGCCGTTTTCTATCAGCATTTGCGCTTATTTCAGATTTGTAAGAGAAGTTGTTCACGGAGAGCAAAGAGTAGTTCACGATTACAATTGCAGTCAAACAATTCATCATTGTTACTTTTTTTCGCAGAAGATTTTCGCAACACACCCAAAACTTACAGCCACCAAGTAAAGTTAGGCTTTTCTTCACTGAGCTGTTTTGCTTTTTCGCTTTTGCCGTTATGCAAAAATGCTGTCAGCGTACAACACGTATATATTTCTCTTTTGATATCCTCAAACTGAAACTGAGTAAAACAAAGTGACCTCATTTGATTTAAACAATTCTTGTTCTATGTTTCCTCGCTGTCTTGATGACGTTTGTGCACAACCTGTTCGATGCCTTCATACTCTTAAAGGGAATAAATTAGTAATAAGAATCTAAGTTCAGTTTTGCCGAATTGTTTATATCTTTAACACCTTCAGATGTTGCGGGGAGACGTTTCACAATGATTTGCTGAAGAAATACGTCAAAATTGTTTGAAAACATACTGGGGCATGTTTCTCAATCGTTACCTTCTGATTAAACAACAATCTGAGAGCTCCGGGCGGTTTTTCTCAAGGGACCTCGTTATTTTAGAGACCGTCTATCATAGTTGTACCCTCAAATCTTTCTCGATCTTAGATTATAGAAACAACTTTTGCCATCCAAAATTTCAACTAGTGTTATCAGCTACTGAATATGGTAAATGCGGCGCATGAACAAAGCAGAGATATCACATAAATACTCTCTCCAGCCAAGCAAACTCTACATTGGGAAAACATTGAGGTGGTCTTAGACATATTAGCATACGAAAGTGGCAGAGAATAAATCGGCAAAAAACAAAGACCGCAAAAAATTCAACGGCGCGAAAGTCAATAAAAGAAGGTAAATTAAATTAAATTATAACACCATTCTCTATGCTTAGCAGTGGAATGGTACAAAAATATGTACGCTCAGCTGTTTTTCTTTTACGAGGTGTTCAAATGACCGTAACCTCCGTTAGATTAAAAAGCAATAAACAAACAGGGCGGTCAGTCTAAAAATATAAGCAAAACTTCAGGTCTTTGACACCTTAACTGAGTCGACCATACGAAAATTGCTTCGAATTTCTAGAACAATTTATGATTGGCAATCTTTCGTTTAATTTAACTAATTTGTGAAAAGTGGATCAAAACAGGAAATGTTTTTTTATTCAGCTGCGAAATCTGAAAATTAAAATCCACTTTCGAAATTCGAAATTGATCACGATTATTATGAACTTTACATTTTTTCTATTCAGTATTGGAGTTTGCCTTGCTTTTAACAAAGGAAGGAACTGAACTGAATTAAAAATGAAATCAAAAATCAAGTCACGATTTTTTTGCCAGAAAAAGTAAACAATAAAAATCACGACCTATATTAGTCTTCACTGCGTTTATAGACTCTTTAAAAAGTTGATATACTGATATAGGAATTGATAATTTTTACAACCAACAAACAAAATAATAAAATTCGAGAGAGGCAAAGCTGGCTTCGCTAACGCTAACGACAAAAAAGCAGCTCTATAAAGTGAAATAAGAAAAAGTAGAGGTGGGACTCGAACTAATTGAAGTTTTGTTGCGTCAGATACAAACTACCGACCTCGAGATTGGGAGTCTCCCGTCCTTCCCATAACGATCGGCAAACACTAGCCACAAATAAAGCAGCGAAAAGATGCTGTGACATTTACAATGCTACAGATTTTGACTATAGGAAAAGAGCCACCAAACGAGCATTCTTATGTGCGAGTTAGGTTGGAAAAAGTAGTCGTAGTAATAACCCTTGCTAGTGTAAATAGAACGGTCATTTAAAATGCGGACTTGCTCAAAATTTGTCTGTTAGTTGAAAAAGTACAGATGAAGATGACCTCCAATTTCAGTCATCCAGTGAGCAAAGTTATTTGCGGTAAAAAAAAATCTAGCACCCGATTGCATGACTCTTGCTTATCGCTAGGGTAACAAGCATCAAAACAATAAAAACAGTCATCTTTAGCAGAAGTATATTATGATGTGAGTTAAAGTTAAGCTTCAAAATCACTAACCGGTAGAATTTGTGGTTCCTGTGTAACACGAGGAGACTGGAGAAAATTGAAGTGGCACGAAGTGTTTTGTATGCTTGGAGCAGCATAGAAGCCCACGTCTCAACATACCCAACTAAAACAAGGCGCCGTTGAACCAATCATTGATTAGATTTTGGGCATCAATCCTTGTCATCAAATTTGGTTCAAATATGTAAGTCATGTAGTAAACAGAAGATTTAGGGATCTAGGGTGACATTTATGCTATCTTGGAGGCTATCTTGGTGATGGTTCAAATTTTTCAGAAAAAAATGGTTACTTATCGTCGAAATCATATTTCATCTTCCTTTTGAAAATCCCTCCTACGCTCCCAGAAAACAAACTAGATCAGCGCCTTTGTAAGCTCTTTTCTATTCTCAAAGCTTCATAGTTTCTCAAACCTGACATTTTTGTTTCCAATCTGACATTTCTCTTCTAATTTTTTCTCTCTAATTATTTGTCCCCAAACAAAGAGGGGAGAAAAACTTGTCGACTAGAAGAAAAAATAGTAGAAATGAGAAATAAATACCCTGACGTTGTCTCTACAAGTGTACAGTGTGTAGTCATAGTTTAACTGGTTACAGGGATGATTATCGTCGTTCGCACAGCCATAATATTGAGTTGTTATCTGTTTGCGGTTGGAATGAGAAAACTGATAGCAGAATTTGAGGTCTAAAATAAAAAAATCGCTTTTTAGATTCGAGCAACATTTGATTGAGCAACACTGATAGCAGAATTCGAGGTCTAAAACAAAAAATCGCATTTTAGATGCGAGCAACATTACTTACACAGAAAAGGAAAACCAAGAAAATAACTGGGTCATTGTTACACGACAAACTCAGGCAATTATAACATACTCCGCACTAATTAATTTTAGAACCCATCGCAACACAAAACAAAAACCTAAGTTTTAGAAGCATTTATCAAAAATTTGAGCTCCAAATCGAGAAATCTTCCACGCAAAAAAAATTGTCTAAAATAACTAAAATTTTCAACCAATTTCAGTTTGAGATGTATTAAAATTATATGAAAGATGTATTATTTTATTATTCTCTATAGCTAAACCGTAGTCTCCGTGATATATCACGATAGCAATCTTTCTTGCTAACTTTGTCAATAGCCTGAGACAAATCCTCATTATAAAGCAATCAAATCTACAAGTTCATCAGAAAATGTTACAAAAACAGTCATAATCTCGAAAATTATTGGGTCCCAAATTATAACTTAGCTAAGAAAGACCATGAAAACGGCCGATATACAATAGCGCTTTCCAAATTTTGACCCAAAAAATGAATAGTTGCTTTGTATATTAATTAATTTCCACGATGATTCAATATAAAAAGGCATTTCGTCACAAACTAAGTAAAATAGGTCAATACATAGTTAACATATACCGGAAATGCAGATCAAGTATAGAACACGGGATACAGAGACAAAAATCAAGACAAAAGAAAGAAATTATGATCCCCAACTCATGATTACTGAAACATCTGGTACTATCGAACAAGCTGGATTTTATGTCAGGTTGAAAAACTGACATTTTTCCTAAATAGAGCATGATAAGTGAGATAGACAAAGGGCAACAGCCAAGGCCCACTAGGTTTCGACCTTGTATAGTAATGAATAGACAATTTTTTACAATTGGAAACAATTATTTACAATTTTGAAACAACTTTTTACAATTTTTGTTGTTAAACACTTGGAACCACTTGCGATTCAATAAATATATGATGAGTGCATCGTGAATCTAAAAATGTAGCAAAGAGAACTTTGAACTATGTTACAATTGAAGAATAATGAGAGAAAAAACGAGAACAAAAAATGAAAACCAAAAATGCTTTTTTTCGTGTTTGAAATTATTTATTTTCTTCAAAAAAAAAGACCTCGGGGGGTTGAAATAGGTATTCAAAAAATTGGTGCCAGAGTCTTATTGATATGAAAGGACTACCGGACATTTGCAAGAAACAAAAAATGGTAAATAAGTCGAAAGAATCATAGCCGACATCGAATCAGCCAAAAATCTTCGTCAAAAAAACTTTCATGTAACGCCCACATAGGATCCACGATAGCTATAAAAATAGCCTTTGCGAAGTACAATACAGAATTTGGAAACTAGATCAACAGATCTCAAATCATTAAACCATGAAGCCGAAAAACCATCAGTAGAAAATTAATATCAAAACTATAATTATGCATTCAATGGTTTGAGTTCTAGATACAGCATGAGCAGTAACTAGTACCCGGTAGTTCACTTTGAATTAAGATGCAACTGATAATTTCATCAGCATAGCAGCATCATAAGTGTTTCATCTGATTTTGTTAAACTAGTTAACCCGGAAAAGCTTACTAATCGCAGGCGTTAAAAATCTTTTATCAGTTAAGCCTCTCTTCCTCTGTTGTGATAAACTTATTGTGATTAACTTACTAAATTGCAGTAAGAAACTCATTGAATAGCCCTTGAACAAATTTACTTCCTGTGTATTTTCAGACGTATGAGCTAGGGACATGAATCAATTATTAGTTGCGAATGTCCCGTCACTCCTAGCTTTGACGGGTCAAGTAAACATATTCTTATAGTTGTAAGTGCGCTACAAATTGTTTTAGAGCTTGAAATTAGCTTAATGTTTATTTCATCGACTATAGATTTAAAAAAAAAAACAGTAACCCTGCTATTGAATCAAAACGGGCCAATTAGCTTCTAAAAAAATTCTCTTGTAGGCTCCTAGCAGTTATGGCTGAATGGAGCAAACGAAAATCTGAGTTCGATTCAAAAATTGATGAAATAACGAAGCAAATAAAAGAACAGAATGAGACTAACAGAGAACCAAAACACTAACAGTGAGACATTCAAAAGTAACAGCCAACCAGATTCAAAGCTACATAGGAAACAAAAGACGTGGAAATAACAGAGGAGGATATAGATGAAAAAAACAAACTCAAATTGAGGAAATAGTCAACCTCAGTACTCGGGCAACTGGAATAACCAAGGATATAATCAGAAACAAAATACCTGGCAACCGAATCAGCATCAGCAGACTGGTCAACAAACCGGCAAAACGCTCAAACTAGGGAAACACAGCAAAATGGTTAAATCGAGATGACACAGCATGCAAGAAATCAATGCAAAAAATTTCGTTACCCAAATCACACTGCTAAGTTTTGTTTACAAAAACTAAGGAAACAGAGAGGAGCCCAGTTTCCTTCTCCAAGCCAACAAAAAAACTCTTACGTCCACATACAGTTCCACAGTCCATTTATAACCAAGTTTACACAAACAATAGACAAAAAACACAAAAAAAAGAAATCATTGTAATCTTAATCTTAGAAGACAATAAAAAACTCAACTAAATTCCTTTAATCTTTTCTAATACTCTCAGTCGCGAACTCTAATAGACAATGTTACAAGCGCGAGTGCCCTCCCACAAAAAGTGAATCGCTTAACCCTCAGCGATAACCCAGATAATGAATCCAAACTAGAACCATGCCACCTTCATTTGTAAAAATGGCATCGGGTCGACTTCTTAAAACCATAGGAAAATGCAGAATTAAGTTTCAACTTGACAAGTTTGAATTTGAAGACGAATTCTTAGTTTCCCAGCAATGAATAGTATGATTTAAGGGAACCCCTTTTTTAAAAAAACACATTGACATTTGTACCAGCCGAAACCTTCTGAAACTCCCACAATTGACATTCCACACGCATGAAATTACAGTAGGAAAGAAATGAAAATTCTGCAAACACCAAAAATTGACATTTACTGTCGCCAAAAGATTATACTACAACCAAAACAACAGGAAATAATCATGTTCAAACTAGATACACACAAACAATTTAACGGAATTTCAGGCGCAATCATACCCGATTCAAAACTAGAAAATGATTCCTAATTAGCGCAAACTTCAGCACTAGTCACGATAAACTCTGAAAATGGAACCAATTTTTGGCAATAAATCTTTCGGATCATCCAGTGACCAGTAATAAAAGAACTAAGCTAGGTTTCTTGAAAAGCTATTTTTGGCAATAAATCTTTCGGATCATCCAGTGACCAGTAATAAAAGAACTAAGCTAGGTGAAACAAGACGACATCAAAACTGTAACCATAGATTTTCTACAAAAAATCAGAGCGCAGACAATTTTCGAACGCGTAGCAACTTCTTCAAAGAATGGTAGTGTCACATCACTAAATTCCATTTATGGTTCTGCATCATTGTTGGCGATGACAACGCCTACGTGGTCCATTTGTTTCTACTCAAATTTACTACGGGAAGGCAAAGAAAGAGTAATAGAGGACGAGCAAATACGTTTTGGGGGGAACATTTTAGAAACTCAAACTATAAACTCTTTATTTGACATTAAGCAAATATCTTCAGTGAAATTTTACGGATAAATTTATTAATTATATATAACCACTGTAAACACCAACAAAGACTCTTGGTTGGTAAAACTTTGTAAAATCACTCCAGGGATATCCGCGATAGTGGCCAGATTGATTAAAATTAAAAGCCTCTGCCTAAATTTCTTTCTTAGTCCTCTGAGGAAAAATCGCCACGAGAACTAACGACATCCGATTTATCTCTCGGTTACTGGACTTTTCTCGTCTTTTGGAAAGAGATTCCTATAATAACTAAAAGGAAAACTCTTAGCGAGATAACGAGATCTGACATTACTCTTATCAGCTCAATGTTGAGTCGGATGAAAAATTTGTTTTGTTCATTATAAAAGAGACCCTTCCGTTTAGTTACGGTAAGTGCACAAGCTGGATAGGGCCATACCAGCGATATAAAAATGCATATACATCAGCAATGAAGTCATAAATCAGCATTAAATGCATCGTCGTAATGTTAATTTATCTTAGCCGTCCTTCCTCTACAATAGCGCTTATGGAGTTGTCGATAAATTGAGCTTTGCGTAGCGATCTGCACCCCCTTATACAAAGTATAGAGCTCCTCAGGAGCGCGAAGCCTATTTTAGTTCTTATGTAGTTTATAGATTCTGGATAGCTTTCTTGCCTTTTTTCACTTAGTTTTTCGGCCAATCGCTGCATCGTCCGCGTGGCTGTTGGAGCAGCGCCACCGGTGCATCCAAAAATAAGCGGGCAGAAGCTACTCTGCTCTACGTTTAAAATTCTTTGCTGATATTTGGAGTTCTTCAGCGTTTCGTGGTATTTGTATGCATCCTTATGCAGTTTTCGCGATGTTTTGGCATGGGGGTTGAAAATTTTCACATCAAAGAAAGCGCGGCTGAATCGTGAACACCAGAGTCCGTTTGCCTTAATGTCAAGTCGTGCCTCATCTTCAGTTGTAGTTGAATTGTTGACAAAGCTTTCGCCTTGCAACGGCTGATTTGTTCATTATTGTACACTTGATAGAATGTGTTCTGCCTCATTGACCATTGTATCAATTCAGTGTTTGTCTCTCTCTCTCTCTCTCTCTCTCTCAAAGATGGTACCTGGTGATGAGTCAACAGACGGAGCGGTATTTCGGAGCGAACGCGATCCGCTTCTGCAGAGGCGAAGCTGCATTTTGCAAAAGCAAAAACGGCATAACCTGTGGCAGCTTGATAATATTGTTTCAATTGGATCATGACAAACCTCTAGCGGAAAAGCTTACACTGCTGAGCTTGAATTCGATGCGATAAGGGTCAAAAACACGTTCAGATTTTGAATAAACTCAAAAAAAAATTGATTACTAAAACTAAGAAGAAGCAACTAGGGGACCAGCTGAAAGCTGGAGAGACCTGTTTGATCATTTTAATATTGATTATTTTATCGAAAAAGTTTGAAAAAATGGCCTAAAAACCGAAAAATTGACTATTCCTAAGTGTATAGCTCTTCCCCTAGACAAATTAGGGACGAGCCGTTTGTGTAGGGGGGGTTCCTACAACCTGGTCTATCGATTAAACCCTTAATCCCAAATCTGGACGGGTAGTTTTTGAGGAAATCGGAAAGATTTGAAAAAAGGCCAAAAAAGTGACTTTTCCTAAGTCTATAGCTCTTCCCCTAGGCAAGTTAAGGACCAGCCGCTTCTGCGGGGGAGTTTCCTACAACCTGGTCTATCGATTAAACCCTTAATTCCAAATCTGGATGGGTAGTTTTTGAGGAAATCGATAATTTCCGAAAAAATAGGCAAAAAAATCAAAAAAGTGACTTTTCCTAAGTCTATAGCTCTTCCCCTAAGCAAATTAGGGACCAGCCGCTTGTGCATGGGAGTTTCCTACAACCTGGTCTATCGATTAAACCCTTAATCCCAAATCTGGACGGGTAGTTTTTGAGGAAATCGAAAATTTCCGAAAAAATGGGCAAAAAGTGAAAAAAGTACCGAGTTGTGAAGCTTTTCTAAGACCGTAGGGGGTGGGGTAGGGTAAAAATTGCCCTAAATTTCATGCAGGCAGGTAGGTGAAACGCTACTGAATCCATTGGTACCACTTTTATGAGAATCTGACGGGTAGTTTTTTGGGAAAGCGAATTTTTCGAAAAAGCGTCTCAAAAAAAAAAAAGAAAAAAAAAACCAGATCTCATCTGGAAAAAAAACGTTTTCATAATACCTGTTGAATAAATCAAACAGGAATTTACTTACTGGGTGAACGACACACTGTGATATTGGGGTTGTAGAGAATGGGCTGAATCTGCTCGGTTTCCGGTCCTTCGAAGCAGGACTCTCTAAAATGCACAAAAAATTAATGAAAGAACTGATACCAAAGTTCATAACTTCAATACTTTTAGCGTCTGGTTAACTTACGGTGGTCCATCAGATTTTTTTAGAGCATTGGCGGCTGCAAGCAAAAACAGTAGAGGGAGAGAAAGCAGCATCTTTGCTTATGAACACTTTTTAATTGAGCTTTCATTTAATCAACGCGGTGGTGCCTTCCATAATACTGAAAAAATTGTTAATGCATATACAATTTCATCCAACTTCAATAAAGTCTCATCGTCTTTTTAAAACCAGAAGATCAGAAAATATCATGGTAACCGAAATTACTTCCCTGGTCTTTCATCATTTCACCCGGTCAAAAAACCATTGAACATTCACAAATAAGGTAAAAGCAAAACTGAACGTGAATTAACGTAACGAGTCAGATGGTTGCGAATCTAGCCAACCAGAGTGAGAAAACTAACACTTGCACAGAATGAACCAGAGTTGAAAGAAACTTGCAGAGTGTGACATTCGACCGGAATGCTAGCAGCCGAGTGGGAAAATAAGCATATTCGAGGGATTAAGTGTTAATCGTTCAATTTAATGAATTAAGAGAGCTAAATTTGCAATGACGAAGAAATTATTAAAAAATCGTTCGTAAAAAAGACAAGTCACAACCTTGAAATTTCACAGTAACTGAAAATGCGCAAAAATCAGAAGACCGATTTTCCCTTGTAAAAACTACAACGATTCTCGACAAAGAAGAAAAAGAGTGAAAACTATATTGCAATTACAGTCGAAACTATCCGAATTGTAACGATTGTACAGCTACAATCGTTACGGAGCAGTTCCCGATAATTCGGAGGGGTATTGGGAAGATTTTACTACCCTTCCTCAACCGCAACAAGACCGCTCTTCAACCGGATTCAAGAGTCCGGTAGGGTTATGGGAAGAGACTGAAACTGGTTTTAAAACAACTTTTACCTTCCGGAAATTCCCTGAGTTGAATTTAATTGCACGTAATTTAGTTAATTTGCGCGATCTGTCCGATAGCCTTAAATGGTAACAACTTTCCCGAACCGATGTTAATGGACCACACATAGACCTGGCTTTGGTAGTGACGGTTAAATGCATGTGAAGCTGTGTTTCGATGCTAGCCAGTCGTTTCATAACCTAGTTTTATTTCCCTCGGTATGTACTTCCGGGCGAAAGTTAAATATATATGTTTTTATGGCGCTCCTAGGCATGATTCTTCAAAAATCAAGATCGGCACGCCCGTTAACAAGAATTCCGCACCGTGCTGAAGCTCTAAGTAAGGCCCTTAAAACAGCGCCGGAAGGTATGTTCGGATCGCGGAAGCCTTCCCTTTTCCCGGATTTAATTCCTAAACCTAATTAAGACCAAAAATTCACGTATCGTGAAGGGTGGGGGGATCGGCCGCCCTTCCTTCCTTAGCGGTGTATGAACAATTAATACGTGAATTTGTATGACCAATTGCTCAACGATATAAAAGAAATCAAACCAAACGAAGTATAAAACCTGAAAAAAAAACCTAAAACATAAAAAAATAATCTAAAAATCAAAAACCGTAAAAAAACATAAATTCAGTAGTAATCATCACCCCAGACAAGATGTGATTCGACCCTACTTATTGTTGTTGTTAGATATTTTGTTGTTACAGGCATTTATATCAAGCAATATTGTTACGATCAAAGTTGTGGCCCTTTTTTGGTGCCTGTACTGTAGGGTTGATTAAGTATTTAAGAACGTTAGCGCTAATTTGCGCTCAATCCGGAAATGCCTCAGGATTAGATTTGAAGACTGATCCGGCAAACAGTGCAAGGAGCAGTAGAAAGGGTCTCAAGGACAAAAAAAACCGAACGTTGGATATAGTTAACAATTTTTGTATCCCTTTTGGTAAAGAGAGTAAAATATCAATCTGTGGGTTGCTCGACAGTGACTGCACTGTAGTGACACTCCACCGAGTTGCAAATTTCGCTGTTGAACACCTTAATTCTGATATTGGACGGACACGGAGAAGTATAATTTGAATAATATTACTATTTATATTGCTTGTTTTAATACTCCTATATCATTATTCAATGAAACAGAGCTTAAACAGACCGGTTTTTAGGGTCAAATTAGCGATATTTTGATCCCAACACGAATCGCGATTTTTGAGATGTCTGTAACAGTCGCCTACTTTAGTCACATATGAGGCTTAAGAAAAATAGGCCCTATAACCATTGGCTCAAGAGTCAGGGACACTATCTCTTGTGTTTTTCCGCCTCAAGAACGGTCGGAGCCAATTCGGTTCGCTTGCGACATGAGACTGGAACCCATTACAGCTTAAAGGCCACTACCAAAATACCCCCCCCCCACTCTAGAAATAAAAACGTCCCCATACTTAGGTCTCGGGATACCCAAAATACATGAACGCCATTAAAAACCGGGTCGGAACAATCCGCTTAGTTACTTTTTATTGGACAGTGGAACTTTGATCCATTTCAGATGGATCAACCTAAAACTCGCCTTATCTCAACATAACTATCATAAAATACACTCGAGAAATTTAAATTGGAACTTACATATCGACGCACTTGAGTATGAGGAGTAAGTTATAACTGAGCAGCTTGAGAATTAAGTAATATAACTAAATAAGTTTTAAGGCCAATTAGTTTCAATAACAGAAGTAAGTTTTTGTCTCTAGAATCAAAGTCTCTGAATGAACCCTTTGGACACTCGAGTTGTCCACTCTTCCATTCAGAGTCCACTCCTTTCCATTCGAATAATTGTTCTGTCTCAAGTCCGCATTCGATTCTCCTGTTTTCAGGACAAGACAGCTCTACTCTCTTGATATTTCGTATCGAGAAATTGCGAATAGCAATTTCCTGCCTTTTTCTTGAGTAGTTTCCCGCAATTGTTAATTCGGGTGTTCTGATTTTTGACTTTTTCATTTTCAGTTGGTTCGAGAAAATTGAGCATGACATGCTCAATTCGAATTTTGCAAAATTAAAATTTCACTCCAAAATTGCGCATTTCTCAAGGTCAAACCCCTAGACATGACCGACTGGCACATACTCCCCGGACTCGAGATCGATGTCCTCATCGTGTGTTGTCATCTGCCAATAAGTCCCAGAGAACCGAGTGTTGCTCAAGATACAGTGCCAGTGGTCATTTACAGAAGTGTGCATCGGACTTAAGTTTATCTACCTTGCAAAATTCACGACCATATAAAATTTTCACACTATCGCTAAACAGCAATCAAAATCTGCACACACCTGCACCCATGGATCCCCGCTTTTTAAGCTGGTAATTTTAAAATTTCTTTTGTCCTATTTCAGTCAGAGAATTGTCATGCGTCAATTTGATTTATATACTAGATCTATCATATTAATAACAATATCTTATTCGTCTAAAATTTCTTTTTCGTGAACCCAGATTTCATCCAAGTTCACGCTCAAGCCCCCTCCCTCTCAAGACTCAAGACTCTAGAATTTCCTTTCGAGCCACTGGCTCACCTCATGTTCTTCGCCTTCGAGGTACCTGATACCGGTGTTCTCGGCACTGTAATTTGTTCCAATAGTGCCTCTTCGTCATCGGAGCTAATCACAATTTCCTCCCAGGCCTTCAGCTGTTCATAGGCTCGCATCCACTCTCTCTGCTCTTGCAACCTTTTCAATTGACTTGGTAGGCCTTTCACCTTCGACTCCCGGTTCAAGCAGAAGGAGTTATGAAGACTCAAGCTCACATTCCTCGCCAGGTCCTCCTCCAGTATCGTTTCCCTCGCTCTAGAATTGTCTCTGGATATTCTGCCTACTCTTTTCCACCCCGCCGTGATTGCGTTTCGATGGGTTAGCAGAGGTCTCTTAAAGGCATCTGGCCCTATTTCAGCTTGGAATTGTCGATATTCCTTCTGATGTTTCCTCATGTGGTTCTTTGTCACTGCATACAACCAGGATGTTAACGTCGCACGAAACCAAGGAAAGAATCTCAGGCGGCTCCATATGTGTCTGACTTGCACTGGTATGGCGAATACCTTGCATGCAGTCTCGAACAACTCCAGTCTCCTGCTGTAATCTATCGCATAAATCGATTCAGCTGTTGGCGCTCTCGATTCTCTGTACTTCGCTATATTCTCCTCAATCCATCTCAGAGCCAGCATCGTGCTTACCACTAAGATGGTCACCTTCTGTCGATACTCCGGTAGTCCTAGCGACTTAATTTCTTCTACGTCCCAGATCAGACAGAGATTGGCGCGGTCCGGGTACCACACTGTCTGCGCCAGACAGTGGCATGGACAATCCCCATGCGTGAGGTCGATGCTTCTAAGGTTGCGTTCTCCCGAAGCTTCTAGGAGAGGCTCAAGTTCCATCATTTTCTCATGCACCACGTCGACTTCTTCCGAGCTTGAAGCACCTACTGCGGGTTTCCCCACCACGTTCTGCTTCCCATGATCACTTGCATTTTCGCTCTCCAAGCCTAGAAGTTCTTCACCCCAGATTTCACTCAAGTCATCTCTTTGCTCCTTTGGTACTGCTCCTCGGATCTTCCTCAATAGCTTGTGTGAGTGGTGTGACATCCGAGCTAGTCTCACGCACTTGGGCACTGAGAAGGCTTTGTCTATCATCACCCTCTGACTGGACACCTCCACCATCGCCATGTGTAGTGGATAGTGGCTCCCACATAGGTTAGCCAACACTGATCCCACTAAGGATTTTGCATTTAGGGGCAATCCATAAGCTTCGCTCATGGGAAATCCCATCTCTGCCTCGAGTCCGATCTTCCAACTCTTGATGTGCTTTTGGTTCACTTGTAGCACTCCGGGCCATGATTCCACGCTTAACGCGGTCACCAGGTGATGTTCTGACTCTAGCCTCTCCAGTGACTGGAGACTGCACATTCTTGAGAAGAATCCCAAGGCTGTCGCTAGATTCACGGTGGTCCTCGCGTAACATTCAGCCACTATCTGTACCTCACTCTTCTCCCTTTCAGTGATATCTTCAAACCAGGTAGTGAGGTCCTCTTTCTGGAAAGATTGTATCCTGACGCATAATCGTCCATCACAAATATGTTCGCCGTTACTGCATGTCGAATCAAGACAACTGCCCGGCTCCATCCTCCTCACCGGCTCTGTTCCACTTGTCACCTCACTTGATTCTTTCACCTGAGGCAAGATCAGTTTGTGTACTATGCTCAAGATCGCCAAGTCCTCATCCTCTGTCGGTGCCAATCTCACTCGC